TTATTATTAATATAGGCCACACACGTGTGTTTGCAACTAAATATAAGCATTTTCATCGTGGTTTTATTTATTACAATCATAGGCCTATTCTTTCACCATCATTACATATTGAGGCCCTTCTTTTAGGTAAAACGATCTATCTTAAATTTTGTTTCTCAAGTTTGGGACTATTATGTTTTTAAATAACTTAGAAGGTAAAGGAGGGCAAGCACAAGCTTTAACCCTAACAAATGCGCGCGAAGCGCGCGAAAAAGTTTTGTGTTTTTAATTCTAATTTCGTCGGAATTGATCAAAACTCCCTAACTGTGCAATTTTTAGAGGAGATTGGCCTACCTCAACAAGAAATGCTCTTGTGTTATATATGGCCACACTCGTTTTTTTAAACTGAATATAAGCAATTTCCTTATGGCTTTATTTATTACAAACATATTCTTTCAACATCATTACACATTGAGGCCCTCTTTTAGGTAAAACGATCTATCTTAAATTTTCTTTCTTTGAGTTTGGGACTATGTGTTATGACTTCGAAGGTAAAGGAGAGTAAGCACAAGCTTCAACATTAAAAAATGCGCGCGAAGCTCGCGAAAATTTTTTGTTTTTTTAATTCTAATTTCGTCGGAATTGATCAAAACTCCCTAAAAATGTGCAATTTTTAGAGGAAATTGGCCTACCTCAACAAAATATGCGATTTAAAATTTGAGGTTTTCAGGCACTTTCCCGGGTGAAAAGGGCATTCATTGGGGAAAGATTTTCCACAGATGGATGTTTTCCCCTTGTCCCCTGGTGGTTACGCCCGACTTCTGAGGTGTCTTTTAAATAAAAGTCATTAAAAAATACTTGTCCACCATTTAGAAATCAACATTTTCCGAACCTCCCTTTCTCTGGGTTCATCGATTCATTATAATAATTTTCAAGAGAGGAACACCTTGAGTTTTGAAGAACTTAAAAGTAATTAAGTTCTTCAAAATTCAAGGTTTTCCACTCTTGTAAACGGTCAGATAATTTTTCCCATTGTTAATACAGTAAATAAGCCTTATATGTGTATACATACATAAAAGATTGAGTAAGTTGCATACGTAGTTTTTCCATGAATCGATAAATCCCAAAAAGAAAGGGTTGGGGGGGGGGTCCTGTGGTTCCTTCCCGGGAAAATTTTGATTCCTAGGTGGCGGGAAATGAGCTTTCCCGACTTCTGTGGTGTCTTTTAATGACTTTTAAATTCTTCAAAATTAGGATCCTCACCCACCACCCCCCCCCATGGAAATGATTCAATTAATCAATGAACTCCAAAGATAAATGGGGTCCGGGTTCCCCCGGAAAAATTTTGATTTCTAGATGGCGGGAAATGTGCTTTCCTGACTTCTGAAATGTCTTTTAATGACTTTTAAAGTTCTTCAAAATTAAAGGTTTTCCCCTCTTGAAAAAGGTCAGGTAAATTTTTCTCATTTTTTATTTTATGTGTGTATACATACATAAACAAAAAAGTAGTTGCATGCGTATTCTTTTTTCCATGAATCGATAAATCCCAAAAAGAAAGGGTGGTCCGGGGGTTCTCCCCCGTTAAAATTTTGATTCCTAGATGGCGGGAATTGAGCTTTCCCGACATTTGAAGTGTGTTTTAATGAATTTTATGTTCTTCAAAATTCTAATTTTCTAATAGCAACAAAAAAAAAAAAAAAAAAAAAAAAAAAAAAAAAATGAAAAATCAGCTCACGGGTCCTGAAAAGGTAGGTCTAGAATTCTTTTCTTTTTCCCCTTTTTTTGTTGCCTAAGGGAGGGGTCAGGTCCCATGACCCCCCTCCCCAGATCCGCCAATGTGAATTGCGAGAAAATGTAACTCGGTCGGGTACTGGATTAACATTCTCTTTCCCATCCTTCTCCTCCTTCTTCCCTCCTTCTTTTTTTGCATTTCCGATCCTACAAAAATTTCCAGACATTATATATTTTCGCCAAAAGTGGGGCCCCCCGCTTCCGCCGGCCATGTACTGAATGTCAGGAATGGAAAAGCAAGCCAACACTCGTTGGAATACATAAATGAACAGACAGTGGAGACTTTGTAGCTGCTGATCTAACACAGCGCCGGCCAACAATACAATGAACTCTGAAAGTAAATTTACGTAGATTAGATCAATAAAAATGGACATAGTAGTAATCCATCTATTCATTAACAGAATAACTTTTTCAATCCTCTAATCAATTTTATATAGCCGGAGTTAGTTTCTAACTAGGCAACTTTATCCATCAAAGGGCTTTTTCTATTAATAGAATGACCTGTTGTAAGCACGAACTCCTGTAGACTAAACTCAGTACCGTTACAATTTTTAATCGTGCGGGAAATCCACTCACTTGTCTTTTATTTTTTTCCTTTATATCGAGGCCTGAAGAATGAGATAAAATTGATGATATTTTCAAGAGGAGAAAAAATCTTGTATTTTGAAGAACTTAAAGGTCATTAAAAAACTCTCCAGAAGTCGGGAAAGCTCATTTCCGGCCTATGAATGAAATTTTTTCATTTTGAACCACCCCCTTTCAAATCCTGGATCCGCCCCTGATTATTATGTGGGTGCTGATACCTCATCACAGACAGTGCATGGGTCACTAACCGTTGGATGGATGATTTTTTGTACTCATTTATCAAGTAAATCCGGAATTTTAAGGTATATCAAGGTGGATGTTTTCCTCATCATTACCTAACTCTCATTTGCTTGTGAAAGTATTTGAAGTTTGAGTGGAAAAATACTAAATAAAGTACAATATTTTGAAAGTTACTTTGGTGTTTCCGACTATTTTTTTACTACTGTTTTATACATTAATTTGTTTGACTGAAGAGAAAACGTTATATTTATATATCAGACTGAGAAAGGGCTGGAGAACATAATCAAAGTCAAAGCAAACACATAATTAACTATATGTTCTCATTTAATAAGAATTATATATATCGAATACCAATGCATGAATGGATGAATATTTATAATGAATAGTCGTCTTCTAGTATAGGGAGGCCTATTAAATATTATTTTTCTTATAAACTCCAAGGCTTTTTTTTTTATCAACATTCAGAATACTATCGTGATTTAAAGTAAACTTTCTAAAAACCCATAATACATAGCATATTTTCCATCAATTTTATTCTTATTAAGTCTTGCCTTTATATATAGTTTAGAAACGGATATAATAATTTGACTTTATGAATTCTTTTCCAAATACATCTCTTAAATTACTGTTTTTATATGCTGCCATCACATGGCGAAACTCATGCATCCACAACAGACGCTAGGGGCGTTTTCACCATAC